CTATAACGAAAACCTCTCCAAAAAAAAAAATCCTTCTTTGTATTTTTGTCCTAAAAATTGCATCTCTATGCAAGATACATGTCTATCATACAGATTTATAATTCTCTTTTAGACAGTTCTCTATTTAGACAGAGAAAGTAAGTGTTACGAAACAGAATACACTTGTACCGTTTATTATACCTGTCTCTGTACATACTTTTTTTTTTTTTTGGAGAGGTTTTTTTGCTATAGGGCGTGTACGCTCGCCAGACAGACAGACAGAGACAGAGAGACAGAAAGCGAGAAATCACCCTCCACAGGGGATGACCACGCCGCAATCCCTTTTCCTCCATTCTCCTCTCGGGATCTTGGGCATGCACGCACATGCGCCTGGCGTGAGTTCTAAGCCACCGGGTCCAGGACGTGAACCATGGTCGACTACGTGGGAGTCCAGCGACATAGCCATTACGCTAACTGCTGGTTCCCGTATCTCTGTACATGCTTTTTATTTCTTCATGTGTAATTGAATCGCTGTCTAGTGTCTTTTAATCTGAACCTGTAGGATTTCTTTGAGCATTTCTTCTAGAGCAGGTCTGCCAGTGACGAATTCTCTCATTCCTCTGTGTCTCTTGGCATATACTCATTTTGCCTTCATTGTATTTCAGAGGATAGCTTTTGTGGATATAAAGTCCTTGGTTAAGGTTGGCTGCAGTGGTAAAGCAATATGTAATGCTTTGCAATGTGAAAACATAAGGGAATCCTGGGTCCATGTCCCAGGTCTTTCTGTGCCCGCTGGGTGACATACAGGTGCCCGCAGTGCTGGCTGGCTAAGGTTGGGTGGATTGCAGCATGGAGACCCTGTTGAGGGTGCTTTCTCCACTTCTCTCCCTCTCTGTCTTTCTCATAAAAAAAGATAAACTTATTAAAAAGTTCTAAAAAATTGTTGATTGGGAGCCAGAAGATGGCATAGTGGTTGAGAAGCTGGACTCCCACATGGCTGACTGCGGTTTGAGTCCTGAACCTGGCAGCTTGAAACTCATGCCAGGAGTATGTGTGTGCGTGCCCAAAATCCCAAGAGGAGAATGGAGGAGAAGGGATTGTGGCCTGGCCATCCCCCCTGAGGGGTGATTTCTCACTTTCTCTCTGTCTTTCTCTGTGTCTCTGATGAGCACATGTGTCCTATAACAAAAATCTCTCTTAAAAAAATATCTTGGTTGACAGTATTTTTCTTTCAGGGCTTTACATATGTCATCCCATTACTTGTGGCCTCCATAGTTCAGCTGCAGAGTGGGGAACTGTAGTAGGCCCAATTAAAATACCACAAAGATGTCTTTGATCCCAAAGACATAGGATCAACCCAGATGTCCAAAAACAGATGAATGAATTGAAAAAGTGAGGCATATATACACTATGGAATACTACTCAGCCATAAAAAACCTTGAGACTCTGGCATGTGATAGACAGTAGGTAGATATGGAAGATTTAATGCTAAGTGAAGCAAGCCAGACTCTGAAAGAGAGGCATTGTATATCCCCATTCAATAAAATACCAGATGTCTGCACTCTGTGGCAGAAACTAAAAGATTGGAAAGTATAAAAGCATGGGGATCAGCCATGGGTACTAGAGACAGTGTGGGAGGAGGGTTGGCAAGGGGGACAGGAGGGAGAGGATCAAGGGAAAAAAAGCACAACATTCAATTGTCAGAAAAAAGGAAAATTATCTGTTGATAACCGTGGTAATATCTTTGTACTAATATGCAGTATATTCCTGATGGCAAAATTCAATTTGTATGCTGTAAAGTTGTACAGTGATTAAATGTAAAAGATGAGAAGATGAGAAGAAAAAAAATGCCACAAAGTTCTCTGTTTTTACCAAGATTCAGCCATATTTCTTGAATAAATCCTTTCTTGGTTCTGTTGCATTTGGTTTATTTCCAGAGTTCTAAAAATGTTGATTTTGACATTGTTTGCCAAATTTCTCATTGCTTTTGTGGAGAAGAGAATTTTCTGACGGTCTTACTCTGCCTGCCATTTTCACTGATGTCACACTAGCATGCAGCATCAATGGAAACACATCTGCATAAGGAGCAGAAATAGTCTTTCAGGGCATAAAACCTAGAGCTCTTACAAATAGGAGCAGTGTAAGAGTTGTCTTTTGAGAAAGGATACATTTTTAGCAGTCTTGGGTACCAGGAAATGATGTCAGTGTAGTATTTAACATGGTAAATTGCTTTCTCATCAAGCAGGGATTGCCTTTGAGAGTTTTGAGAGGCTGTTGTTGGACATTGGGACAAAAGGGGCAAAAACCTCAGTCACCCATGGAAAAGCTGAAGGAAGAAGCACGATTGTAAAGTTATTTGTAATTAATGATAAGGTGGAGTCAGTTATGGTTTGTTATGAAAAATAAGTGCAACCCTGTCTCCCAAATCTCAGTTTGGGAAATAGACGGTAGTGTCTCCCTAAGGCTCAGAGCTTCTGCACTCGATGTTGAGGCTTTTCTCTTTGCCAAGAACCTGGATGGAGTGTGGCCTCATGAGTCAAGACTTTCAGTTGCAAGTGACAAAGACCAATTCAAACTGGCTATAGTAAAAGTTTATTTTGTATGTCAACATTTCCAAAGATAAGAGCTTTCCTGGGTAGCTGGATTCAGGAACCCAGAGACCTGTCCTAGTAATCTTTCTCTTACTTTTGCCTGTGATTTCTTTTTTTGGGCTTTACTCGAATCCATTTTTGTCGACGAAGGGTTGGAATGTCTTCTTTGACCATATTTGGATCATGTGCTTTTCTTCAAAACCTGACTGGGTAGCCTGGGGTCAGTGTACCCAAGCCACATTCATGGATAGCAGAGGTAGAGAGTTGCCCAAAGGGAAATGGGACATTTTCATTAAATAGAGGATGGTGGTGGTGGGGATTGAGGCAGGAGGGATGAGTGTTCAGCGGGCTAATGTAATGCCTGCTCATGACACACAAAAACCATCTATCTCTCTATCTATCTATCTCTATCTATATCTATAGATATCTATCTATATGTCTCTTAATTACATTGTTGAGTTGAATTTAGCATTTTTTTCTGGAGCTGTCTGTTCTTTGTATACATTGTGAATATTCTCACTTCCACCATTATCCTACCTATGAGAGTGCTCATTTCTACTTCTGCAGTGCTTCCTGTTCTCACTGTATGCCTTAATGTAAATATATGTAAATGTACATAATTTTGCCTCTCCAGTGGAGTACTCAGGAACATGGAGACTATAGTTATATTTTGGGGACTTTCTCCTCAAGACTCCATCCAGAGGAGAGGAGCATATTAAAAACCAGAAGACTCAGAAATGAATTTCTCATTTGTATTGAGGTGTCATTATTTTCAAATATTCCTTTCAAAGTTGATGTTATCTGTTGAAAAGTAGTTCTTCGCAGTTTGAGTATCAATGGGAAAAATCTGTAAAATGGAAATAGTACTATGAAATATCTCGGGAGAGTTGTTGAAACAACTGAATGAGCAACCAGTTTTACATGTAAAGTACTTAGAGCGTGGCCTGTCATATCATAGTTAAGTTTGTGATGATTAATTAAGGTTGAGCCCATCTCCTACCTTCTTTCAGGCTTAGAACAGAAAATGAAGGTCTGATTTAGAAAATCGAATGTGGAATCTACCTAGAACCTGAGCAGAAGCTAAGGACTCTGAGAGTAAAAGGACCACTGAAATAACCATCTGATCGTTAATTCAGTAGATCCTGTTGTTGAATGTTTCGTTAACCTTCACCATTGAGCAGCATTGCCATCATCTGCCAGTTTCTCTGGTGGACTTTCTTTCTCTTAAGCTGAGAGTAGAAGTAGTATCTCTATCCAAGTCTTTTCGTGAACCTACTGCTCAGTGGTTGGTTAAGTCGTTCATTGAGCAGACGTGTTAGAGCACCTACTGTAACAGCTGTACTGTTCGAGTGCTTATTTCTCATTGCATGCCAGTTCTAAGTTTTGTTCACAGATTGATTCATTAAATCTTCATAAGGTCACTATATAGTAGGTGCTTTTTATTGTTTCCATTTTCCAGATCAGGGAACCCAGACCCAGGGGAGTAACTTGTGGCAGATGCTGCTAATGGGCTGTGAAAAGGTTCAGTCATGGTGAGGGACAGAGAGAAGGTAGCAAGAGAGAGCTGGCGAGGTGGGCGGAGGCCAGATCACTCCATGTCATGAGTCTGGGCATTATCTTAAGAGCAGTTGGACGGTGTCAAAGAATTTTAATTTATGAGAGGAATAACATGGATATATAGAATTAAAGTAGATGATCTTCGACTCCTGTGAAGAGGATGGGTGCAGGGAAACCAGCTGGGGGCTGTTGTAGATGTCCACGTGAGACACAGTGACTGGAGTGGGGAAGTTGGTAGTGGGGAAGGTGACAATTAGACAGATGAAGGTGACTTTAGAACTTCTAGAACCTCAAGGGATCATCAGAGGAAGAAATAAACTGACCTGTATCAGTATTTAGCACACTTGGGTTTGGAGGGGAATCTCTGGGGCACTGTAAAATGAGGGAAGAGGGTGCCTGTGGCTACCTCAAGTGTGCAGAAGTGCATGATGTGTGACCAGTTCTCTTCTATCTTTGTTCTGTTGTCTTTTCTTATTTGAAACCAAACTAAAGCCTATGTTCACTGCGTTAATGAATATGGAAAATTGGGCAGTCACTTACCAAGTGAACCTCAGAGAATATTAGAAGGAACTCCTGCGTGAGGTGTCTGTAGGAAGACAGGAAGTGAGGGTGGGAATGAAAGAGCAGGAAGTGGGGTCAGGGTGTTGGGGACTGAGGAGAGGGTCTCGTTCTCAAGCTTGATTGTCTTGGTCTGGGATGGATGCCACCCAGCTGTTGGGAAGCTTGCATTTGGTGTGGGCTCCATGGCTTCATCCATGAGACAGCTGTTTGAACTGCAGAACAAGGATCCAGGTAGGAGGCAGGTTGGTTGATAACCCCCATGGCTCACTTGGTGTACGTGTTTGTTGACCTGTGCCCTCTTGTCCCGTTTAGGACACGGAGGTTTTGAACACTGCCATTCTCACTGGAAAGCCTGTCTCTGTTCCCGTCAAAGTCGTGGCAGTTCAAGAAGATGGCTCCGTGGTTGACGTATCAGAGTCTGTGGAGTGTAAGTCTGCGGATGAAGATGTCGTTAAGGTATGTCGGGGTTTTAACTATGGGTTTCTTAAGTGTTCGGTCTTTTTGATTGCCCCTTATTTCGTCCCTTCATCTTGTTTTCATTAAGCATCCCATGCTCTGAAGGGCTGGGGGTCAGAATAACCTCACCCAGGAGTGTGTGACCGATGGCAGGGGCTCGCCGGGTCTGGGAAGGGAATTCCTGACTCCATCTCAAGCAGAAATAATTCACCCTCTCCTCCCCTCTCTTTTTTTCATAGGGCAGCAATCCACATCACCTTCTTAGTCCCCCCCCCGCCCCCAATTTCTGTGCCTAATAATATTATTTACTCGATACATTTTCTTTAAATGCTTTGCTTTTAGGGACAGCTGGTTAGCGCAGTTGGTTAGAGTGTGGTGCTACTAAATACTCACTTTTTCAAACTTAAAAATGAATTCAGCCTCATTATAAAACAATAAAACCTACAGGCTTGTTGTACTAAATTTTAGTTAACATATATGAAAATAAATGACTATTGACTTTTATTTTAATAAGTTCATTTATGTGCCATCTACCTTAATTTGGATATAATAGTGGGATACAACCCACAGTTTGGGAAATCTGTCCATGGGTCATTTCTGCTGGATTCGTCATTTTAATTAGCTATATTTATGACTACAGATTCTGCCAACAACCAGCCTATGGCTTTTTTCCATGTTCTTTGCAGAAGTCCAAGCCACCAAATTTAGTCTTTCTGCCTATTTTTTTTTTTTCTTAGCACATTGGTGGTTGTTTGCTTCTGCAGCAGAGACCTCAGGGAGAAAGGACTTAAATCTTCAGAAACATCCTTTCTTTAAGCGGCTAGGCAAGCCCCCAGGTGCAATCTATTCATATATTTTAGAAAAATGCAATGACACTAAGTTCCCTCTTTCATCACATTCTGCTGGCTCCAGTGTGAAGTTAAACAAAACATAGTCTCAGTCTTAAGAACTTTTTGATAGGGGCCAGCAGGTGGAGAAGTGGTTAAGGTACTGAACTCTCACATGGTCAGTTATAGCTGCAGTCCTGGACCTGGTGGCTTGAAACTCACACCAGACGCATGTGTGTGTGCCCAGAATCCTGAGAGGAGAATGGAGAAGGGATTGAGGCGTGGCCATTACCCTGGAGGGTGATTTCTCGCTTTCTCTCTCTCTGTCTCTCCAGCGAGCACATGTGCCCTAAGCAAAAGAGAATCTCTAAAAGATGAAAGATAGAAAGAAAAAGGAAAAGAAAGGAAGCACTTTATGATGGAAAGGACTTTAGGGGCTTTCCTTAGCGTAGAAAAGACCTGAAAGGAATTGCTTTCTTCTCATTGTGACCAGCCAGAGGCTGTGTCTTAAGCCACAGTTGCTTTTTCTTGGTAGCATTTTTGTTGTCAGAGAGCATGTGTGCTTGCCATAGAGAGACAGAGAAAGAAAGAAGGAGAGGAAGAGGCAGAGTTAGACAGGGAAGGAGAAAGCCCTCCTAGTGGGAGGTCAAGCCACCGTCCCTTCTCGTCCGCCTCCCCATCCTGTTGGGATCTTGGACACACATGCAGATGCTCCTGCCACGGTTTCAAGCCACCAGGCTAGAATCTGTATCACAAGCAGCCATGTGGGATTCAAGCCCCTCGCTCACTAGGCTATGAGGCCAGCCACCGTAGCTAGTTCTGAGAACAAAGAAATAGGGTAATGGTAAGGTTTAATTAAAAAAATAAAGAATCCACAGGAAACTCAAGGTTGGCCAAGCTTGTCCTAGGCCTGGAAAGTTCATTCTCCCTAGAGATGGGACTAGCTTAAAACTGGTACACACAGCCCCACTCTGCGGGCTTCCAGGTTATTTTTGTATTGTGTGGGCAGGTGTGATAAACAAACCCAGAGCCTGAGGTATGCAGAATTCAGAAAGCTCTGAGCCAAATCCTAGGTGATCACCCGCTCATAAGAAACACACAGGAGGCAGTGCCCAGGCTGCACACAGAAGAGGCAGTGCCCAGGCTGCACACAGAAGAGGCAGTGCCCAGGCTGCACACAGAGGAGGCAGGGCCCAGGCTGCATTT